GCCTGGATTGACTCGCCTGGACGGACTCGCCTAGACGAACTCGCCTGGACGGACTCGCCTAGACGGACTCGCCTGGACTGACTCGCCTGGACAGACTCGCCTGGACGAACTCGCCTGGACGGACTCGCCTAGACGGACTCGCCTGGACTGACTCGCCTAGACGGACTCGCCTGGACTGACTCGCCTGGACTGACTCGCCTGGAAGGACTCGCCTGGACTGACTCGCCTAGACGGACTCGCCTGGACTGACTCGCCTAGACTGACTCGCCTAGACGGACTCGCCTGGACTGACTCGCCTGGACGGACTCACCTGAATGGACTTACCTGGAATAATGACCCAGAAAACACGAAGCGGCTTGAGTGCGTCTCTGCCTGATAATAACTCAGGTTCGCTGCATTAAAGGGGCGGCATGATTTTCCAGCCACCTGGTGCCTTTTTATAGCACAGGACAGTCTGTTACCTTCAGTTGGTATAAAAATGTTACATATATGAAATATGATTTAACCTGTCATGCGCGAGAGGTCCCAAATTTGGGTCCTCTCGTGACAGGGTTGTCAAACTCCAGGCCTCAAGGGCCTCTGTCCTGCAACTTTTAGATGTGCCTCTGCTGCACCACACCTGAAAAGAATAATTAGGTCATTAGCAAGGCTCAGGAGAACCGATCTACACAGGGAGGAGGTAATTAAGCCATTTCATTCCACTGTTTTTTTACCCGTGGCACATCTAAACACTGCAGGACAGCGGCCCTTGAGGACTGGAGTTTGACACCCCTGTCATTGTGAATGACAACCTGTGAATGACAGGTTAAAAACAATTTTACTTTGTTTTTAATTTTACTTTGTAATTTAACGTCTTGAAATTGGGCCTCAGTCTCTTTAAAAGCTCCTCCTCTTCCGAAGTTCCTTCTTCAGGAAGGCTTCCCAACATGGCTCCTCTATTAACCCTTTAACAACTTTTTTTTTACCAGCGTTTCACTGAGAAGCAGCTCCTATAATGAGATCATCAGTTTCACCAGGTGTTTGCTAATTGCTGCTGGCTAGTCTGAAGGGGCTGAGCATGGGGGAGGAGCTTTGTCTGAAAGGCGGGGCTAGGTCCATCCAGGCATTTTGCACAGCTGAATGGTTACCATGGAGATTAAAGGACTCCTCAGACATGCATGAAAGAATCAAAACAACATCCAGAAATGTTTTTGATGAGGCAGTAACATTATGATATGATTAACGCTCAGAAAAGTCGACTTCACATAAAAATACTCCCCTTTTAATACCAACATCCATGATTTAATCCCTTAAAAGTTGATAAACTAATGAAACATTAAGAGACAAAAAATAAACTGATCAGACTGAGCCAGAAAGCTTCATCTTCATCACAGATGAAGAACAGACTGTTGTGAGGGCTGCTCCTGTCATACTGGGAGAGTTTCTACTGGTTAGAAATGAAACTCATTTTTACTCTGCAGTGATCAGTTTAAAAATAAAGAATATGTCATTCTTCCTGCCTCTCCATAATTACAAACATCTTCAGATCTTGAAACATCTGAAAAAATGAAAGTTTAAATCCGGTTCCTGTTTTTCAGGAACCGGGGTTGTAATAGCTTTGGGGTTTTTATTCTAGTTTATTTTCATTTCGATGTCATGAACCAAACAAAGGCTGAAACATTGTTTCTGGTTGTTTGTGTCCAGACGCTCCAGATCGGAAACGCCTCCATCATCAAACCCAACCAGCCTGCCATCAACGGCTACATCCACATCATCGACCGGGTAGGGGTCAGAGGTCAAGCACTCGGTGCAAAAGCAAGGTTCCCAGCGCAGTGGGAGAGAAACGACTCGCTACTGGGTCACTGTTCAATGATCTGGAAAACAAAATGGCGGCGATGGGAGCTTGTTGTCCAGGAACCTGGGTTATAATAGTTTTGGGGTATTTACTAAAGTTTTATTTCGTTGTGATTTTTGTTGATCAAATTCAGTTAATTTGGTAATTAAAACTCTACATGTTCAGTATGTTTTAGTTTGATAAAGGAACAGTTCCAGTTAATTATAGTTTTTTCCCACTGACTTATTTTATTTATTTCAGTTAATGAAAATGTTTTCTTACTTTCAGTGTCTGTTATTATGTTAGTTTTGTAAACTTTAATAACCTGTAGACCAAACTGAGTTAATCTGGATCTGGTTCACAGTGAAATCTATCAGTTGACTTCCTGTTGTCGTCCATGATCAGGTTCTGCTCCCGGCCCGTTCGAGCCTCCCCCCCGAACCGCCCACCCTCATGGCGTTCCTGAACTCGTCCTCCAGCTTCTCTCTCTTCAGACAGGCCGCTCTGGTCAGAACCGGTCCCGGCTCTCTAATGTTCAGACTCTGATCTCCGCCCGGTACTGATGGTCTCGCCTCCTCACAGACCTTCAACCTGACAGATCGTCTCGCCAATGAGGAATTCACTCTGCTGCTGCCGACGGACGAGGCCGTCACCAAATACCTCAGCGGGACAAACTCATCGGTTCTGGTGGGTCCGGTTGGGTCCGGAACACTCCAAAAACATCTAATGATTTAAAATCTAACAGTGGGATGCTAAAATCCTGGTTTACAACATTAAAATAATAAGAAGCAGCCATTTAAATGATAAGCCTTAAATGAAAATAAATTGAAACAGACAGTTCCTGTTCAGACCTCTATGAGGCGCCATTTCTAAGTTACACAGATCAGCACAGCTGTCACAACAGAGTCATTTTTCACTTATTTTCACGTTATTCATTCATAAACATCAGTTTCAAACTAAATGCTAATTAAATATTTAGCTTCAAAGTCAATATTTAGCTTCCTAACTAACTAATGGATGAATAAGATGGTGGGGAAAAAATGAACCTCCATGTTTTTCTGTCAGGCTAAATAACCAGAGTTATTATTGTTGTTAATAGTTCCCACAACCGGAAGTGATCCGGGCCACTGAACCGCCATCTTGGTTGGCAAGCGCTACGTCAAGCATAGATGAATCACGGCTTCGAGTATATAGGAAAAGACTCAATAGTTGTGATGTACTTATACTGGTTGTACTTGAATAAAGCGCCATTCAAGTACAAACCATTTACCATAAGTTAGATAAGAATGAGGCGAGAGCTAGTCATAAGATTGTGGGTTGTTTATTGTTGTCATAGCAACTCCTTAGCAACTGTCATGACAGTTAGCTATGGATGCCTACCAAGATGGCTGTTGGCTACAAAGTTCCCAGAAGTGTGACGTCACATGAGAGTTAGGAGATAGTGTAAGTTTACTAACGACCCTCATTATGTCATGATGACAGTCTGTTTGGGTCACATCTGGATTTCTAGTTGCATTTAAAGGTTATAAATCAGCTAATAAAGCTGATAAATCAGACCTGATGCTGAGCTGGAGGATCCGGGTATCAGCATCAATTCGTCGTGTCTTCTGTCCAGGAATGGGACGTGCTGCAGTACCACGTGATTCCCAAGGAGCTGCTGCTTCCCGACCATCTGCACGACGGCCTGCTGAAGAACACGCTGCTGGGCTCGGACCACCAGGTCCAGTTCCACCTGACCAACACCAACCAGGTACCAGAACCTTCACCGGGTCGGGGGTTGGGGTTGATTGTTTCAGGCTGGTGGTGGATCCAGGTCTTCCTCTGCATTGATTAGACCCCAGGGCTGATTCTCCATGTGGATGGGAGGATTCTCTCTGGGGACTCCGGCTTCCTCCCAGTCCAGAAACTGGGAGTGTGCCCTGGGAGTGTGCCGATAAATCTGCCCTGATTTCTTTGATTTTGAGGGATTGGTGGTCGGCTGACCCTTAAATGTGAAACCGATCTTATCCACCGGTCGTGTCTTTTCTCAGCAAAGGTCTAAATATCAGCCTCTGTGCTCTTCTGCTCTGCAGTGAGAGGTTTGACTGTGAGCCCCGCCCACCGGGTCATTGGCTGTATGTAGCAGCAGTCGCCTCACTGCTACCAACTCGCCGCCTTCTTTCTATATTTAGCAACATTTCAGATAAAACAATCTGTATTGACCAAATCGGAGTCAGCAGGTCAGGTGGTTTAAAGATCGATCGATAGGCCAGAACACTGCAGTCGGTGCTCTGCTGCCTCCGCTGTCGGGTAAATCCTGAGGTGAGACAGTGTCTCTGGGTTGTCCAGCCTGGATGCCTGTCCTGACCCCATGACCTTTGGAGACCTGCCCATGACCCTGCAGGGACTAGCTGGTGTCAGTGGTGGCTGCTTGAATCCCATCTGACTTTAGTTTCTTTGTTACATAAAACTCCTCAGAAGTTTTCAGTGTTTTGTTTCAAGGCTGTTCCGCTCTTCCTCCTCCTCTTCGTCCTGCAGACAGCCGTGAACGACGTTCCTCTGAACGGCAGCGTCATGGAGACGCAGTATGGCGTCATCTTGGTCCTGCCGCAGGTCCTCCGGATTCGGCGCAACAGATGCAGTGAGCCGATCTCCCTGCTGGTCAAGGTACGCATGCAGGAGGCGGAGCGCTTTGCCTCATGCTGCCAGCTAGAAGCCGTAATCTAATCCCAATCTGTCTGCAGGGCCGCTGCTCAGACTGCAACGAACCTCCTCGATGCTTGTTCAGCTACAGCCCTGTAAGAAACCAGTTCCTTCAGCCTGAACCAGTAGCTGGACGTTCTTCATAGTTTAGTTTTATTTCATTGTGACTTTTTGTTTGTCTAATTAAATTAGTTTTTAACTGTGTGTTTGTTAGTTTTTAATTATTATTAGTTAAATATTGTTTAGTTTTAGTTAGTGTGTATTAGTTATAGTAGTTTTAGTTTTTCATACTTTGGTTAATTTTTAGGTGCTTAATTCGAAAACGTCCAGGGATTATGATTATATTTACATCGTTTGGGTGATGAATACTCAACAGAAGACACCGTTTTCAAAAAAATATTCATTTACTGATCAACAGTTATTGATCTGGAGTTTTCTCCCAACTTTTGCTGCCACCATTTTGTGACGTAGCGTTTGGAGTGTTGTAATTTGCAGACAGCTGATATAAACTGCTGGGTGGGGAAAATAAATCTATTTGACATCAGTTCAAAAGGCTAAAAAATTTATAAATGAACACAAAAAATTAAATTTTCTATAATTTCAGCATGTTTTATTTGAGTTTTTCCCTGTTAGTTACCATTTTTATTTATTCAGTTAAAAAGGTTTTCTGGATTTTAGTATTTGTTATTTTGTAAGTTTTAGTTAACTGTAAAAACCTTGGTTCTGATGGGTCAGACTCAGATAATCTGCTGTCTCTGGTTCTGCTCCAGATCCGGGATCGGTTTCCTGCCAACATGAAGCCCAACTGTTTCTACCGGAAGCGGGTCGGACCGCGGAGGAAGTCGGTGCCGGGCTGCACCATGAAATGCCTTCGAATCTCCTCGGTCAGCGCCGGTACCGGAGCCCGGCTCGGTTCTGCTCCCAGCTAACTGACCGGGAACTCCAGCTGCTGGTCCAGATTACCAGTAATCTGGAATCCTGTTTACAGCTCATTTATAATCAACCCACTTCCTGTGGTTCTGAAAAATGTTTAGTTTTTCAGGCCTGAGTGAGAACAGAGAGCAGAACGGAAAACGATCTCATGCTTTGAGAAACAACAATCACAGAATTTATGATGAAAACAACTTCAGCTGTTCGTAACCTAGGAAACGGTCTCCTCTCCCCGCCCCGCAGAATCACGCCTGCTGCCCCGGTTTCTACGGCCACGAATGCTTCAAATGCCCCGGAGACGACAACAGCCCCTGCTCCAATCACGGCCAGTGCCAGGACGGTAACTACGGCAACGGGGAGTGCCGCTGCTATGAGGGTTTCCATGGCACCGCCTGTGAGGGCTGCGAGCCGGGCCGCTACGGAGTAAACTGCACCTCCAGTGAGACACACACACACTGTGACAGAATGACACAGCCGCTTCTTTCTGCCGCCACCAGGGGGCGACACCCTGGCAGACAGGCCCAGTTTACCAGTATACCCAGTTTGTGAGGCTGGTCAGCATCAGAGGGTTGATTTATGAGGAACAGTAAAAACTGATTAACCAAACAGGATTTCCCAGACTGAGTCTAGTCAGAGCTGGAGCTGAGCAGAGGAGTTTATTTAAATAATCCATTCGTGTCAAACTCATTCTCATTTTGGATTACAACATCAGGGTTCTTAACGGGCCAGTAGTGGAAGAATGAATTAGTAAAACCCATTAAGAAACTTAAAATATTAATAACTTTGTCTGCTTTCGATTTAACATCAGTGTCTCAAGATTTTTGATTAGTTTTTGTTAAATCCATTTTTTTAAAATCAATTTTGCCAAAAAAAGTAATAAACTCACAACAGTGCACTAGAATGAAAAAATTATGCAATATGTTGATTTAGTGTGAATTTCTGTGATCAAAGAGTCAAAAAAAATGGAGGAACAGATTGATGTCATTTGTTTATTTATCACTTTTAAAAACAGGTTTAAACTGCACCAACGTCCTGTACAAAAACAATAACACAGTAGAATAAATTTATCAAGAGACAAAAGAAGCATAGCAAATAAAAATAAAATATTACAACAGGAAAGATTCAATATCAGGCCTTATTAAATGCCAACGAATAAAAATAAGTTTTAAGAAGTGATTTAAAATGACCCAGACTGTGGGCAGAAAAATCCGGAGAGGGAGATTATTCCAGAGAATAGCAGCAGCAACGAAGGAAGACCGATCTCCTTTACTCTGAAGTCCAGTCCGAGACGCTGAATACTAACTGATTAATGGATCTTAAGGTTCTGGACACAGAGTGAAGCTTCAAAAGATCCTGGAGATAAGAAGGAGCCAACCCATGTAGTGTGGAGCCTACTTGGCCACATGAAAAGCCTTAGTGGGCCGGATTTGGCCCCCAGGCCTCGAGTTTGGCACATGTGAAATAATCATTCAGACAGCTGATCCCTGCAGAACGCATCCCTGCTGCGAACAGATGGGACTCGGTTCTGCTTGGCTGTTTAAATGAAGCTGAGATGAAAGCAGGGTTCTGTTGGTTCTGCTGGTTCTGTTCGCTGCAGAGTGCTCATGTGACCACGGGAAGTGTGACGACGGCCTGGCAGGAAGTGGCAGGTGTCTTTGCTACAAAGGCTGGAAAGGAGCTACTTGCTCTGCAGGTATGTCCAGCGACACGGATCTGTGGTTGTGCTCCATGTTGACCTTTGACCTGTGTCTAACTGCTCCTCAGAGATCAGAGATGACGCCTGCAGCGGTGTCTGTGATGAGAATGCCAAGTAAGTTTCTGCATGTCTGTCTTCACCAGCTGCTGAGTTAACCATGGAGATGTAATAATGCAGGCATTACGAAGTGAGACCAGAACCAAGCAGAGAAAACTCCCAACCAGAACGCAACCAGAACGCAGCCAGAACCCAACCAGAACCCAACCAGAAAGCAGCCAGAACCCAACCAGAACCCAACCAGAACCCAAGCAGAAAGCAGCCAGAACCCAGCCAGAACCCAACCAGAACCCAACCAGAGAGCAGCCAGAACCCAACCAGAACCCAAGCAGAAAGCAGCAGCTTTCAGCAGAAATACGAGACGCTGTTCTCTCTGAACTGAATGGAAACAAAATGACCCGACAGAAGTTGGACCCCGTCTTCTTCAAATCTAACGTTTGGTCAAACGTTTTGCAGCTGTCATTTTAAAAATATTAGTAAAAAGGTTTGCAGAGGTCATCTGAGGTCGTCATTAATTATCTTCAAAGATAGAGCAACACAAGCAAAACCTCCTGTTGCTCAAACGAAGCGCTGAGTCGATGTAAGCGGGGCGACTGGTTGACCTCTGATGACCTCTGGAAACGTTTTAAAATGATAGCGGCACAAATGAAAAGTTTTACTGCACAACCTTTCAACATCAATTTAGTCAGATTTGGGTTAAGTTGGGGGTTTGGAGGGGAGTTGTTGACCTTTTGACCTCTGAGCTTTCATTAATATCTTCAAAACAAAAACAAAATCTTACCAGGTATTTTTGATTTACTACTTTCTAGTGCAATTAATGCACTTGATGTAACTTACAAATAACTTTTCAGCTAGAAATATGAACTTGTTTTTTGTAAATAATTTTGTAATGTTGATGAAAATCGATGCAGATTATTTCACTGAAAGTGAAAGGATCTGGACCAAAGCTACTGGGTGAGATGTTGTGTTTTTGCAGTGTAAATCCTGTGAATGTTTGAACGGTATTTTCAGACGTTTTTCTGCTGCAGCTGTATAACGGGACCGCAGGGCTCGGCCGCTGCCTGTGTTTGTGTCGCCGGTTATGAGGGGAACGGGACGTTCTGCCAAGGTAAAGACGCTGACCCGTGTTTGCTTCCAGTAAATAGCCTGGTCCCAACCTGCCCTCCTCTGCCTCCCAGAGCTGGACGTGTGCAGCAGGTCAAACGGCGGATGCTCAGAGTTCGCCGAGTGTACGAAGGTCTCTCCTGGGGAGAGGACCTGCGCCTGCAGCAAGGGTTACACCGGAGACGGAGTCGTCTGTCTGGGTGGGTTAGACCTGGAGGTTCGACCAACGCTCCACTGGAGGAAAGTTTAGTGTCGCTAAGAGCGGAGAATCGACGAGAAAGCTGGTTAATTCATGTTTTCTGTGAGACTAATCTAGTTTTTTGTATTATTTTTTAAACCCCCTGACTCAGATAATTATTTTACTGTTGTAGACAAAACAAAACTTAGCAAAGCATTACTTTACATGCAGTTATTCACTGCTGATGCGACACTAAGCTGCTGTGAACAAATGGAAAACATGAAGAATTATCAATGTACAAGCAGTAAAGATATACTCAGCCTCCAAAAACACAAAATCTTGCCAAGTATGTTTGGTTTAGTTTCCAGTGCAAATATCTTAGTTCACTTGAAATAAACTAAACTAACTTACAAATAATTTTTCAGCAGGAAGTATGAGCTTGTTTAAATAATACCTTAATATTGATGAAAATGTTGTTCCATTGGCAGATTATTCAATTAAAACATCAAAATATTATAAAATTGATAGCAAGCCGGAATAAAAAAGTTAAACGCAACACAAATTAACAAAGAGCAATAGAATCACGTCGTTTTTCAATATGTTAACTTTGACATAACATATGAGAAGTCATATCAAACTCCTGATTCTGGTCTTATTGAACATGAAGTTCATATGAGAGTCCTGGAATATCTGCAGTTATTCCTGCAGACTCCGGATTAAACACAACCACTCAGAAGCTTCCTGAGACTCTCCTGCGTTGCCTGAAGATGCTGAACCCGCTTCCTGTGTTTGCAGAAATTGACGGCTGTCTGGTGAACAACGGAGGCTGCCACAAAGCAGCAGAGTGCATCAGAACCGGGCCGAACACTGTAAGTAAATCCCTCCTGCTGTGAGAAAACCCTTCATCTGCACGGCGTTGCTGCTCAGCGCTCCTGTCTGATGTCTCCACCAGACCACCTGCCAGTGTCAGACCGGCTTCCAGGGATCAGGGAGGTTCTGCTACCCGGTCAACCCCTGCAGAACCGTACGTCCATCACACATTTACCTCTGCTGAGGCCTTCATTTCCTGAGAAACAAACTGCTGATTAATCAGTCCTTTAGAGATGTCGTTCATTCCTAAATGTGAAAGCTTCTCGGCGTCAGCAGTGATTCGGTCCAGTGTTTTCCAGAGCTGGGCAGAGTACCCAAGATATACCGCAGTAGGAGTAGCACTAAGATATTTTTACTCAAGTAAAAGTAAAAAGAAGTCGTCCAAGAAATTACTCAAGAGTTGAAACATATTTGGTAAAAACACAACTCGAATAACTTTAAAAATTACATCATCAGATGAACCAAAATATAGATTTATGTTAAAATGTTGGTACTATGGAGATCAAAATGAAGGCAACTAATTTAAATAACATAATTACAAAACAACAAATGGTATTTCCAGTGTTCCCAGTGATGTTTCCAGTGTTCCCAGTGATATTTCCAGTGTTCCCAGTGATGTTTCCAGTGTTCCCAGTGATGTTTCCAGTGATGTTTCCAGTGTGGAACTGTTGCAGGATAACGGCGGCTGCAGTAAATACGGTCGTTGCGAATACCTGGGCCAGGGCCAGAGGAACTGCACCTGTCAAAGAGGACACATCGGCGACGGCTTTACCTGCAGAGGAACCACCCGCATTGTGAGTCACATGACCTCTGACCTGCTGACCTCTGACCCTCACACTCACATGAAGCTGTTTGTCTGACAGGAACTGAACCGGGACATAAGCAACCAGTTCCTTCGCACAATGCTGGTGGTGAGTTAGACTGTGACGCCTCAACGTTCATCAGTCTGATTTTAAACCTCTTTCTCTTTTGCTGTCGACTCCCGAATTGCATGAATTTTATTTTTTATTTTCTTTACCTGTTATCTGAATTTTGCTTTCTTCATTCACATGAAACTTGTGCACCAGGAGACAGAAAACAAGCAGGCTGAATTTTCTTCAGATTCCCTCTAGAAGGCAGAAGAAATTTTTCTTTTTCTGTTTTCACAAACAAGGAATTTATGTTTGTATAAACACAGAATGTCTCTGCAGATGTTTGTGGCTAACTGATGTCTTTTAGAGGTTAGCACAAAGACTTTTGGCCTCTGACCTTTGACCTGTAGCTCTGTGGCAGACAGAGGGCAAGTCAACACAACCACAGCAGAACGGAGCTGCCCAACAATTCGCCTGTTTAAAAACGGTTTATTGTCTTATCAAGACCAACTGCTGATGAGCAGTTCCCCCAGAAGTTACTATGATATTGGCATCATTTTCAAATAACAAAGTGCCATACTAATCCAAGAACTCATTCTCAAAAATGAATAAACTTTAAATTATAACATTTAATACTTGAATTGGACAACATTTTAAATATCCAAAATACATAAAGAAAACAACAGAAACAACAAATCAATCAATTATAAAGTCTCTGTAAATTAAATTTTCCTACAAAGAAAAAGAGCTGGTTGAGACCAAAGCACCAGACTGAAAACTTTTATCATCCAGTTTTTGGTAGAAAGAGAAAGAAAAGAGAAAAATGATAAATCATGTAAATAGAAGTTATTGAGCTCGTTTTAATTTATTATGAAATTATTAGATTTATTGGCAGGCCTAGCTCAGACTCACCGAGAGTCTGAATTAGCACCAGCAGGATTGGACTACACCGGTGCCGTTGTTTACAGTCTGCTTCCTGTTTCTCCAAACCCAACCAGATGGCCTGACGAAGTTTTTCAGTGTTTTTCCAACCGAGAGTTGTTGGCTGGCTTAGTGACATCTGTATTATCTCCACAGCTGTCGGACATCAGTCTCTATGGCGACGGACCCTTCACCGTCTTCGTTCCTGTAAAGGAAACCAACAATGAATCCAAAGTGAGAGCAAAAAACGCAGCTTCTTTAGCTTCTGACTCACTTTCAGCTGCATGGTGACCTCAGCAGTCTGGCGGCGGCGGCAGCAGCAGTCATCGGTCTGAGTTTGTGTGTCGACAGATCATCGAGTGGAAGAGGGCGGGCCGCCTGCATGACCTGACCCGTTACCACGTCGTTTCCTGTGAGATTCTGACCTTAAGTGACCTCAAAACCACCACCAGGGCCGTCTCCTTGTCAGGATACACTCTGGAGTTCAGCCTGAAGGAGGTAAAACACTCACATGCACACACAGCCACACACTCACATGCACACGCAGCCACATGCAGCCACACACCCACATGCAGCCACACACACAC